AAGAAATCCCCAGCTTCATTAGTATTCTCTTACATTCATAAATCCTCCTTTGTCATATCTGAGGGTTCCTAGGATCAGCACTGGCTGTAGCTACACCAAAAAAAAAAGAGAAAAAAAGAAAAAATCAATCAGACTGATGCATATTCATCAAGTGACTGCTCTGAACAGATTGATGGCATTTGTCTTGATTCTGTTAAAAGGGGAGCTAGGGCTTAAGCAAATCACAGCCTCACTGGGTGTCAAACTAGAAAATGAGAGGGTTGTATTAAATAATTACTAAGGCTTCATTCTTGCTCTAACCAAATGCAGTTCTATAATTATAAGTGTTTTGAAAAAGCTCCAGGTACTGAAAAGCATGCCAGAGTAGGGTAACATGCAGCCCCTCCACGCAGATGCAATGAAAATCCAAGTTAAAATGTAAATACATCATCTTGGAAAGGAGGCATAAGACATTGTCAGACATCACCTTATTAGGGCTTAGCTCCAGGCAGCTAGAGTACCTAGGATGAGCAGTCGCTGGGAAGAAAATGATTAAAGCAGGCATTATAAATCAAATGCCTGTAGGAGCCAGCAAAGAGCATAAATAAGGGGGCAGATCCAGGTGGGAGTTGTGGAAAAATGGACACCTGCTCCTCAGCTCCAGCTAATTGTTGACCCTTGGGAATATAGCCCATAGGTTATCCTATCTTTAGTTTTTCAAGAAACGTCTCCCAAAACCACAAAATTTCTGAATTTTAAATATCGTCTCAAAATATTTTTAAAACAGGGGCACCTGGGTGGTTCAGTGGGTTCAGCCTCTGCCTTTGGCTCAGATCATGATCTCAAGGTCCTGGGATAGAGCCCCACACATCGGGCTCTCTGCTCGGCGGGGAGCCTGCTTCCTCCTCTCTCTCTGCCTGCCTCTTTGCCTACTTGTAATCCCTGTCAAATAAACAAATAAAATCCTTAAAAAATATAAATTTTTAAAACATAGTACAAGGCAAGTGTATCTCCACACTAGATAAACCACAGGACACCAAACTTGAGCTCTCTGCCGTGGGGCATTATACAAGGAATAGCATATAAGGACAGAGAGGACATGGCAAACAGAAGCAAGGATGCAGTGAAAGAGGATGGAGGGGGTGAGATCAGTGTCCGAGGTTGGCTCTCTTGAAGAACAAGCAAACTGGAAGGTAGAAAAAGGTTAGGATAGGACTTTTTGGGGGTCATGAGTACCGCATGAGATTCTGATGAATGTTGTAGAGATTTTCCATGGAAAACCAAACTTTTATGTAGCAGACAGAATAATCCCTCCCTCCCGCCACCACACACACACCAAGCTCCCTGTGTCCTAATTTTTTGTCCCACTCTACATGTTACTCTTACATGACAAAAGGGCTTCTGAGGATACGATCAAGTAAAAGATCTTGAGATGAGGAGATTATTGTGTATTACCTGAATCAGCCCCATCTAGTCCTGTGAATCCTTAAAATGAGAAAATCTCTCTTGGCCATGGTTAGAGGGAAATGTATGGAAGAATGCTCAGAGATGTAATGTTGCTAGTTTTGCAATGGAAGGAGAGGTATATGGCAAGCAGCCTCTGGAAACTGGAAAAGACAAGGAAATAGATGGATTCTCCCCCTAGAGACTCCAGAAAGACATTATAGGCCTACTGATACCTTTATTTTAGCCCAAGGAGACCCATGTTGGATATCTACAGAACTATAAGATTATAAATGTGGGTTGTTTTAAATCACAGATTTGTGGTCACTTGTTACAGTAGCAACAGAAAACCAATATAATGTATATGCACTCAAACTTCAGGAAAAACACTCATAAACCTCCCTGAAGCCCATCCACAGACACAGATAGAGGCTCCTTATGCTAGAAAGAACTGAAGATACAACATGATCTGAGAGCTGAAGGTAGGAAACTATTTCTCCTTGGCATACATGCAAAGATCAGTTCCCACTCCATAACACAATGAGCTCCAAAATCTCATTTCTACAAGGATGGATTAATTCTCTGAAGACTAACTTTGAGTCTCATTGAAGTGACATATGACCCCTTGGTGGCAAAAAGATCTTTCTTCCCTTTTTCAAAGTATTCATTATGCAAATAAAATTCTCCCCCCACCCCCAAGAAGGTAGCGTTTTATAACCGCAGAGATTTATCCTGGCTCCTTCTCTCACTTTGAGCCAAACGTAGGTCTGGAGCATCCTGTTACAGTATCATGTCTCTATCAAGATCTTTTTGGGCACCATATGCCTGAACCTGGCCATATGCTGGCTTAAAAGGGAAGGGAAATGTTATCAGGAATGTGAGCTACCTGACTCAAAGTTGTTTTTAGCCTCAGATCTCATTTCACCAGTTCAAGTTTCACAATCCTTGTAACATTTTGAGATTTTTTTTTTTTTAAGTTTCATTAGAATGTCCCTAGGTGACGCCACCATGGCTGTGAGAAATTAAGTCTAGTTTAAAGGTTACCAGCCCAATCTAAATACTAAACTTAATAGTATCAGACACTGCTTCTGATCTGATCCTTAATTCCAGATCCTATGATTTTCCAACAATGGGGTACAGAATATTCTGGAATGGTGCTAGCTCATAAAGCTAGGTCCCATCAAGGTGGAACCTGGAGGCTAGAAGGGAAAGGAAGAAAAGGACAAGGTATTTGGGGTCCTATGGAGGTTTGTTAAAATGTAGAAGTGGCCAGTGTATTGGGGAGACAAACCTGATTTCACGAGGAAGGCTGCCCGGGGACCCTGTCGGTATTTGGTTCTTTTCACTGACATTCAGAGGAGGTCAAGGAACCTCCTAAGGTGTTACAAACTTGTATATATGTACATCTCTGTTTTTCTGAGAAAAGGTACCATAGGTCTGAGAATCCAAATTCAACTGTAACTTCCAATCCCCAAATGTAAGAATTGCTGCCCAGTATATTTCCTCATCAAAACTATTCTAATTCAGAGATGCCTAGGTGGGTCAGTCAGTTAAGCGGCTGCCTTCAGCTCAGGTCATGACCCCAGGGTCCTGGGACTGAGTCCCGCATGGGGTTCCTTGCTCGGCAAGGAGCCTGCTTCTCTCTCTGCCTCTGCCTACCACTCTGCCTGCTTGTGCATGCACTCTCTTTCTCTTTCTCTCTCTATCTCTCTCTCTCTGATAAATAAATAAAATCTTTAAAAAACACAAACTAGGGGCTCCTGGGTGGCTCAGTGGGTTAAAGCCTCTGCCTTCGGCTCAGGTCATGGTCTCAGGGTCCTGGGATGGAGCCCCGCATGGGGCTCTCTGCTTGGCGGGGAGCCTGCTTCCTCCTCTCTCTCTCTCTGCCTGCCTTTCTGCCTACTTGTGATCTCTGTCAAATAAATAAATAAAATCTTAAAAAAAAAAAAACACAAATTATTCTAATCCAATACTCTTAGCTCTTACTAATCATATGTAAATGATTCCCATCACAGAATCCTATTAAATTTCTGACTTGCCCTCTGATAACAGTAGTATTACCACTTACTTTCCCCACTGTAGGTGAGACATAAAGTGGTCTAAAGTTATCAAACATCAAGTATCTTTGAGAAGTCTAACTGTTGATGTTTTTCCTGATTAGCCTCTGTGGAATACCCACCCCAAAGGGCTGACATACATTCCATACACAAGAATGATTTAGGTTTTTTGTTAGTTTGTTTGTTTTGTTTTGTGTTATTATTTTGAAATATGCATGGGTATATATAGTTGGCCTGTTCTTGCTGAGAAAGGCAGTCAGTCACCAATGTGGTGGAAGGGAGACAGGGTCACTGCACAAAATTGGCTCTAGTCAGTCTAAAAGAGCTTCATTATAATAAGGCTTCAAGTAGGAAGGAGAATGCCCCAAACAGCAGAGAAATGACAAGGCTGAGTCTTACCTGACCTGAAGTCACATAAGAATAAACAGAAAAGAGGTGGCAACTTGTGAGAAGGGTGATACAAGAAACCTATTAATCTGGTTGGAGAGCAGGTCACCTTGGTTTTGGGGCCCCTCCAACCTTTTGGGGCTCTTTGATTCTAAATTTAGTATGTTGAATATTTTAAAGCAAAATTACATAGCAGCCAACTTCTTTGTAGTTGTTGATTCATTTAGGCTGTGCTGCCATTAAAAAAAAAAAAAAATCTAAAGGTCATGCTCAGAAGCACAGCGCTCCCTTCCCACTGACTGAAGGCTATGATTATGCTGTACACATGATCCTACAAAGACAGCTGACACAACCAGCAGCTGAATTCTTTCTTCTGTTTATTTCCAGAAGAGACTTTCCACAGACAGCTGCAATGCTGGGCTCCCATCAGAATGCCATGCCAACCGTGCTGCAGACAGCTTTCCACCTCTGTCCTCACCCTGGACCCTGGGCTGTCTCCAGCAGGTCTAGCAGACCAGAGAGGCCAGCCCCGGGGCTGCTTCAAGTGCCTCAAGGACACTACTTGGATCAGCACAGAAGCCACACCTGCTATTCTGTAATCAAACGTTTATAGGCTCAAAGTCTGGCTCAACTTTTTCACTTGTGCAACATCAGGCCAGTGCCTCAGTGAGTCCCAGCCTCAGGCTTCTCCTCCATAAAATGGGGCTATTAGTACTCACTTTGTGAAGAAGAAGAAAAAGCTAAATGAGATAATATGTGAAAAGAAATTGGCTTGATGTCTACACTGTCATCACTAATTATCATTATCACAGAGGAAAATCTAATCATCTCCAGCATGGAATAAAAGAGGACAAATGAAATCAGCATTTCTTTCTCCAAGACTCTCTCCTCTTCTCTCCGAGCCGAAGGCTGATTATCTCCAAAATGAAGGCAGAAACTGTAGGTTATTTACATTTCTCCTCAACTCAGACTCAATGATACTCTCACAGCTGCTTTAAGCTGCTTCTGTGACTTATAAGGAATGCCAGTCAAAATCAGAAAGCCTTGCCTTGTGTGGGAGTGGCAAGCACAGCATCAGCATTTCTGGGAAAGCAATACCAGGCACAGTACAATTTCTGATGACAAAAGGCCCACCTTTGTTGAACTCGTACTGTTTCTTGGCACCTGAAGGAGTGGTTTTGCGGACTCTCGTGAGCTGGCGTTCCTGTTCTCCCCCGACACTCTGGCTGGCTGGGTACCACGTGCTCTGTCTCCTACAAGAAGAAACAGCTAAAGTAGAGGAGCTGTCAGTAGCCATCACACCGGAGTGTTCTTCAGCTGGAAGTGGGTCTCAGGGCAGCACAAACAAAACACACTCCGCAGACTATAGTTGGGGAAGGGGGCCAATAAGTAATTTGCAATTTTAAGAAATATTTTTCTATCAGTCAGTTGCTACAAGATTACAGAATAAAGAGAAAAATAATGAAAAACCTAACATTTAAGAGAGACAATGTAACCATGCCATAAAAATTTTCACATTAAAAATATTATAGAAGGGTATTGAATAAATAGATATATCTGAATAAATAGATATATCTGAAAGCCAATTGGGCTCTACCACCTGACCAGGGACAAGGTTAACTAGGACTGCCAAAGAAAGTTCTTAGAATAGATAACGTATTCACGTACGATTGAGAGAGCATATTCTTCCCCTGCCCCCAAAAGTGACACTATCTGGACAAGAACATATTTAACATATTAGCTTTGCTCATTTAAGCTCATTTAATTTCTAGAATATTTATAGCATTGGCTCATTTTTGTAAAAACAAACATATGTACGAATACACACACATACAGATTGAGATACCAAAATCTTAACAGTGACTAACTCTAAGATGTTATTTCTTTTTTCTTTTTGGGGGCTCATCTACATTTTTTAAAATAAACATGCATTACTCCTATAATAGGAAAGAAATTTAAGTCGGTCTGAAACCTAAGGAACACATCATTTTTATGAATTCCAGTCCCCAAGTATGCAAGCATTCTCTTCCCAATCTCTCTCTCTCTCTCTCCTTTCAACACACACACACACGCACGCCATTAGCTACACTGCATCCAAAGAAATAACTACACTGGACATCCCATGATGCAATCTGCGCATTAATTTAGAAGAACTCCAGAATACTAAACTTTCTAGAGAATATCATAAACACATCGAAGCTAACATGAATCTGGATTCACTATAAGAACACATACACTAAAAATGAAATATTTATATACATTCAATAGTTGAACCACTATAATTTTTGAGCGGTGTCAAATCTCTAATTGACAAGTTTTCCCTGCAGCAAAATAGCTCCTTTACCTGAAAAAAGAAATACTAAAACTAAACTCAGTGAGAAATTGTATAAATCCAGATGGCTACTGTCACGCAGTGAGAATATTCATGTGCTGCAGTACATCTGGGTCTGACTGAGCAGTATACTTTGATGGCAGTGTAGACCAAGCTTTCCTATTTGGAGTGTGGGTTAAAGTCAGTACAAGTACCAACATGTCAGATGTCTCAGAAGTCACGTTTCTGAAACATTAGGATAATGAAGTGGGTTTTTTTGCCAAGTAGTCATCACAAGCTTCTAAAACAAAATTATGGGGGACCTGTGTGACTCATTCAGTTAAGTCTTTGTCTTCAGCTCAGGTCATGATCTCAGGGTCCTGGGATGAAGCCCCACCTTAGGTTCCCTGCTTGGTGGGGAGTCTGCTTCTCCCTCTCCCTCTGCCCTTCCCTGTCCCCCACCCCCAGCTCATGCTTGCATTCTCTTTCTCAAATAAATAAAATATTTTTAAAAAATAAAATTAGATATATATGCCTTCCTCTAAGAGGGTCAAAGTGGGGAGTTGGGGCAGAGATAAGGAAAGGATTTAATTATTCCTCCAGGATCCTTTAATACCATTTCTCTAAGCCTCCAGCTTCAGGCAAAAAGACACTCTGGACAGAGTAAGTGCTTGTAAAAAAATTCTACAACTACCCAAATACTGGCCAAGTTTCCCCAACAGTGGGTTCAAGTGAGATAGCTCTGTCTACTACTTGCTAGGTATGTGACAAGTTACATCAATTATCAGGATCCCCACTTCCTTGTCTGTAAAATGGGGATAATATTCCAAGGTCACAAAGTTGTTGAACAAGATGTCATTAGAACATATCTTAGTACCTGTCAACTGGAGGTGCACAGCGGATGGGAGTTATGAATGTTAATAATTCTTTTATAAAAATTCCCTTGAATCTTAATATTCTGAAAGGTATGTTAAGGAAACCCTCAGAGACTTAATCCAAACAAGTTTATCAGAAGCAAACCTATGTTTGTGGTGGGATGCTTGTTTCAGATTTATCTACTTCAAGAATATAATCTAGAAGTTTCTCAAGAACTTTATAGGAAATAGGAGAGTAAATCCCAATTCTTACTCACTCCAGTTTTTATAAAAATAATTTCATGCTTTTGCTTAAAGGGAGAAGGCAGAAAAAAGATGGATGTCATTCTAACAAAATTAACGAAACAGTAGCTTCCAAAGATATTGTGCTGCCAGGTATCATTTATTCATAAGGACATAAAGGAAAAAAGTTTATAACAAGAACAGTCATAATCATGGTTATTGGCTTCTATAACAGAGACACAGAAGACACCAGGACTCATCTTTTTGGTGAGTTCACATCCCTATTCCAATTGGGCTCTACCACCTGACCAGGGACAAGGTTAACTAGGACTGCCAAAGAAAGTTCTTAGAATAGATAACGTATTCACGTACGATTGAGAGAGCATATTCTTCCCCTGCCCCCAAAAGTGACACTATCTGGACAAGAACATATTTAACATATTAGCTTTGCTCATTTAAGCTTCATTACATCTTTGAGATCTGCTATAATACCCCCTGCCAAAAATTCTAAAACAATAAAACAGAGTGTTTACCTTAAAATAACTGAGAGATATTTTTTACTTAAAAAGGAATCACCTACTGCAAACCAAGGATGTTGACAGTTAGGGAAGTTATGTAAAAGTGACTAAGACAATCCTGCCCCCAAAGAATTTTAAAATCTACTGTTTGACAAAGACGAAAGTGTAAGAGGGCAGACACTAACTTGTTTACTGCTGTGGTAATGTGCTTGCAAATGGACAGGTCCATGCTGACCAATAGAATTGAAGGAAGGAGAAGCCAAGACCCTCTCCTCCAGGCTTGTCTTCCTGGCACCTGGCCAGGCAGAGGCTGGAGGGGCACCTGTAAGACAAGTAATCCTACATCTTTTCCTGATTCCAGCTATCCCCTATCATTTGACCTCGTGTCCTGTATGTCCCAATTACAGCCTTGGTGCAGTGATTTGCTGGTTCTCTGCTATACACAGAAGCAATTAAATTGACTTGGTTCTGAGATACTTCATAAGTAAGGTGCCTATAAGACAGACATTATTTCTGTTATTTTCTGATCCATGAGCAGAGGCTAAGATAGTACACACAATAAGAGAGAAACTGTCTATTAGATTGAGAGGCTCAGAAACTCAGCTGAGTCAAGGAAAAATTAGCCTCTGCTAAGCAGAAATAATGAAATATAATATTTTATCCTTGTTGGGACTTTAGTGAATTCAGCTGACTCTTACAGAACTTGAGAGAATCTAGTTTTGATCCAATGTGATGACCAGAGTTTCATGTTCTTCCGAGTCCTCCTTATACAAATCTGTAACCCAGAAGGAAGAAAAAAAAAATGCTTTGTCCTAGTCCTAGTTTTTGCTTAGCTTAACAAACCAGAATGCTACTCTTGGGCCTCAAAGACCTACACATCCTCTAAATCTTCCTTTCAAGATGTGTGGTCAATCAAAATATTAACTTTTTTCATCTTCTCACACTTGAGGTTTTATTTGTGTCCATTCCATTCCCAAATTAACTAAAAAAATTTACTTTCTTCAACTACTGGCTTAAATTTTAATTTAATTTAATTTAACTTAATTTTAAATTAAGTGGGTTTGTAATTAATCACTGCTCTTCCCAAGAGCTCTAACTACGTGGTTAATACATCCAATATTTCCATAGTTTGGAAAAGCATATATATTCAGCTCTTAGAATGAACAGGCAATGTGTTATTAATCTACCCTATCCTATGTCATCCCAGAGTTCTTTTTACCTTAATCTTCACACATCTGTGAAAATGACTTAAAGTCCTTTTGAATAACTGGGGGTTTTAAAAATTTTTGTCCCTGATTAAAAGAACTATTGGATTATCACATCCATTTTATAGTTGGGGGAAAGGGGCTCTGGAAGAGCTGATTTATAGTATCTTCTAAACATGTGTCTGATTATTATTTGAAGTGTTCTGGGACTTTAAGACATATTACTTAGAGAACTGTTTCTTCAGACCTCTTTTTTAAAATAATTTCTGCCTGCCTTGGTCATTATTTCAACACAGAAATAAATCATGGAGGATGAAAGAGGCATACATTCAAAATCTACACAGATCCACATAGTAGGATCTCCTCTGTTCTTATTTCCTTACCTGAAAAACAGGGATATCGCCCGCTTTACTGCCTACATTTGTAAGAACTTCTGGTAGAAAATAGACATTCAAATTGGGATATTTTGTTCACTTTCCAAATCAAATAACATTCATCGAGTGCCTCACCTCTACTGAGCACTAAACTAGGCACTTTTAGCCTGTATGTCCTCATTTAAAACTAGGAGGCAGATCTTACTCTCTCACTTTTCCCCAAGGAGAATAATAAAGTGAAGATAAGACAGAATTCTTGCCACTTTATTTCAACATCCCAAGTTTACTATTATCAAATGACAAAACTAAAACAATTTAGTAACTAATTTAACTCCTTTATTCAAGGAAAAATAATCCATGTATTTAGGGAGTATAGAGCTTATCAAACAGTGGAGCTTTCTTCCTAAGGTTTTGTGGGCAAGAATGAGCATTATAGAATGTAAGAAGAGGCAACAAGGGAACAGGGCATGAATGTCTAGGAATTCAGGGATTTCCTAATAAGGCTAACAGGTCCTATTTTCTAGGTAAGATAAGCTAGTTAAAGCTAACTTGAAAGATTGTGACAGGTGTTAGGGTCTCTTGACAGGTGTTTTCAATAAGTGCAGGCTAACTTTGTTTAGATTTGTGACATGGGCTAGGCCACTAAGATGGCCTCCATTTTGTGGGTCCCAATATACAAATTAATATCATCAATGTCCCACCCTTTTGATAAATTCTTAGTTGTACTGCAAGTATTGATAAAGTATTA